CTTGTGATCTAAATCCAACACATGGATATATAATGCCTTTGAAATCATCAGGAAGATGGCATGCAATTCCTTAAAATGTGTCATATATATTACTTCTATTGCTCTGTGAGTATAAAGCTTAATTTATAAAATGTTAAATTACCTAAGTTGACTCCATTTTTAGTATAAAATACAATCTTCTTCATGAAGTTTAAATAGCATCCAATAATATCACCAGTAGTATATCCAACTGGATATAATGAATCATATAACACGCCACTTCCAGAGCAAAATATATATCCATCATCACCATGGTAACCACACTCCCACAATTCATTTTTCTCATTTTCCTTATATTCTTGTCCTGAGGAATATTATGTATAAAATTTGATATTAATTTATAATAATAGAAAATAGAATAAAATCTACTATTACCTGGCATAAGCATGTCAGATATATACATTGATTTTACATTTGAATCGCTTATTTCTTTATCGTTTTGCTTTGTACAATATCCAACTCCAATCATTCTATCAATAAATAAAATTAAAGGTTATAGAAATATTGTAAGAACAAAGATGTTATTATTAACATACCTATTTTTTCCTTTATCCGTAATTTTAATTTCGAAGTAAAATATCCCACACTCCAAAGGAATTGGATTATTTGCTCGAATTATAATAGCTTTATTATCATCAGGATCTTTAAAAGTTTTTTAATAAATTAGTTGAACTATCAAAGATTAACGCTCATAAATTCGGAATTTTGATATGTTTCGGTGCGTATCCATTATTCATCTTACCTGTATAACTCACTTTAGATCCACTTGAATCTATGTTAATAAAAGGCGATTTATTTTCAATCTCCCAAGCATTCGGAAAAACAATATCATCGTATGGTGTTGGCAATTCTAAATCTTCCATTGAATTAAATTCCAGCAGTTCTTTAATAAATCCGACAAAAGCCTAACGATAACTGATAGAAAATGTTGATTTTGTACACAGTATAGTAGTACTGTGCAAACATTTATACGTACGTATTAGCTTGGATACGTAGTACAGGTATATATATGTCGACGACAACAAAAATAGAAGTGATCGAAAGAAAAAACAAAAATCAATAATAAAAAACAAAAATCAATAATAACATATGGAAGAGGAAAAGATGAGTAAGGGTAACCGGGAACTGTTCACAACGTACCGGCGTTTTTTTTAAGCTTGTCCGAATTAGCCCGATCGGAAAATGTCGAAGAGCTAGCAAAAATCCCATATAATAATATACCTGAAGTCAAATATTTTATTGATTATATGACTCACAATCGGTGGTCAAATTTTTTAAACTTTGTGGTAGGGGCCTAAAAATTTAAACTTTTCAGCCGCAAAATAAAATTTAATATGTTTTTTAAAAGTTTGGCCTGTTCATATGGCCGATTTTTTTGTCATACTTTTCAAAACGATCTAATTCTGGTCAAATCTGCAGATTATTTGGCCCTGGCTTATCAGTTTTAAAACCGAATTAGATCGTTTTGAAAAGTATGACAAAAAAATTCAACCCATATGTTTTTATCTCACCAGTAGGGAACCTGGCACAGTGGTTACTGGCATGCTATTGTCTCAAAAATTAGGATTCCATGCCTTTATTATAACATTATTAAAATTTTATTTTTGAATAATTTGATTGGTTACAAAAAATTTAATTCATATTTCAAAAAAATTTTTTCTTATACTTATAGTATGGCATGCCAAATAATTTTAGGCGTGCCAAGTTCTCTACTCACCAGGCCCGCAATTTTGAGAGGTTTTTAAAATTTTTAAATGTTGGTCGGCCCGTGCAGGCCTCTATTTTGGGGTCTTTTACAAATGAGCTGTTTCGCCTATAGTTAACGTTAATTGTTGAATTGATTTTGACACCGTATTATTTACCATAATGCCTAATAATATTATACCGAATGCTGTAATAAACATGGGCGAACGTTCAAATTCGTAGATTATTCCGATATAGTTACTCAATTGATAAATGATTTTTTATACGGTTTACACTACTTCTTTCAAAAGTTCGGGTAACTTAATTTTCTATGAAACAAGAGCAAATTTAACGGATGAATTAATACTTTAACTTCGCTTTATAACATATCCTGTTGCTGTAATGATATTATGGCGAAAAGAAAACGTTTCACTATTCGTTCGGCTTTATCTTAACTAATTGTATGCAAAATAATTGTAGCGAAAATGACTGAAGTTGAAATTAGGAACCACGATTTAAAATATAAACCATACAAAATTCTCTTCTAACCCTAAACTCTAATCTAACTAAAAACAAAAATGCAAATTGTATATTAAAATATTTAAAATTTCCGACATAAAATTTCTGTAATTATATTCATTCATTAATTGACTAATATTATATAAATAGCGGTTTCGTGCCAAGATGGTTTTATTGATCCCGCAATAGAACTTTTTAACAAGCATAATAAAAATAAATTCCATGGAATTGCTTTAATACCTGCTCTTAACATACATCAAATGTTGGTATCTAGAACTTAATAGCAGTAATCCATTTGATCAACCAAAGATAAATTTAAATTATTTTGAAAAATCCGATGATTTATATACGAATGATCAGTTCATTTAAACTATGTCGTGAAATACTTAAACAACTTCCATTGAGCACTGCTTATAATGTTAAGGAAATTGGGATTAACACTAATGAAGGTATAAGTGAGAGGGTTGATTTTGAATAAGGTATGTATTTAAATTTTTTTTTTTTATTAATAAATACCTTTTGTACAAGTTCTTATCTTTATTTGTGCTTAGTCGATGTCGTTCCATTCGTGTGGAACTGTAAAGATGGCACCAGACACTAAAGATGAAGTTAGTTGATCATCGACTTCGAGTCCATGGTACGAAAAAGCTTCTAGTTGTTAATGCATCGATTTTTCCGTATATTCCAAGCGGAAACATGAACGCCCCTGCAGCTATGGTTGCTTGGGGAGCGAATCGAAGATTATAGGCTATCATAATCAGGTATGTAAATGCACATGTTTGAATGAAGTCATAAACATATTACGCAAAAAAAGAATGTTAATAACTCAATTTTATTATGACAGCTTGGTTTATTTAATTAATTAAAAATGTTTAATCACAAGTCTATAATTTTTTTGAACTCTATAAATTTTTATGTAGTTTGATTATTTAATGACCCCATGAGAAAAGAAAAATAATATGTAACTTGAAAATTACAGGAAAGATTTACAAAGTTACAGATTTTTTCTTTTCAGAATTTATTTAAATTCGTTGAGGAATAGTGATTTTGGATGTCCTTAAGGTGTTCACCCCATAATGAAAAAATCCAATCACTTGAATTCAATTTTATCGTACTTATTTATCTTTACTGGCTCAATATACCGATATGTATAATAATAAGTCTATCATAATCTCCATTAAAATATTAAGAAATCTGCGTCAATTAATAATTGACGGAATTTGGAAATAACACATAACATCTACACCTGAGCACTAATGCGTATTAACAAAAAAATTTACTTGTGAAATTTTGACACAAGCCTTAATTTGATCATAATTTTTAATGTAGGATTATCCGATTTGGGTAATCAACTTAATATGAAAAAAACTTTAATATCAAATTTACATATACAGTGAACAGGATGATATTTAAAAGGCTATTTTTTTTTTTTTTTTTTTTTTTTTTTTTATCATATAAGCAGTCACGCTAGTACTTTATTAAGATTTTGAAATTACATTTGCAACTACATAAATATCCCTAATACCTAAGTCTAGCATCACCCGGCCACCTTAATGGTACCTAAGTGCA